AATCGGATCACTTGCTGATGAACCAGCTTCTATAATTAAACATATTCCGTTATCAAATAATTCTTATGAAGAAGCATGGGCAAAATTGCTCGCTAGGTACGATAAAAAGAAACAAATCGTACAATCGTTAATTAAAACATTTATGGATCAAAAATGTATTTCACAGGTTGATAATGTTAATTTACGGCAATTAGCTGATACTTCCGATGAAGTTATCAGAGGTTAAAGCTAAAAGCTCTTGGTGATGAAGCAACTTCTAGGGATCCATGGTTTAATATTTATGTTGCTTCAAAAGGTAGATTCAGAAACTCGAAAGTTATGGGCACAGAAAACAGCGGAAGATGATTTTCCTACATTGGAATCATTTTTTGAATTTTTAAATTTAAGGTGTTCTTCTCTCGAAATTATCATAAATAAAGAAGCGGAAGCTAAAGTTGTTGATAAAAGTAGTAATGTTAGTTCTAAAACATTACAGAATTCTAAATTTAGTAATACTAAATGTTCGAAATGTAACGGACTTCATGCGTTATATAAATGCGTTAAATTTAAGAATTTGGATGTTACTGCTAGAAAGAACTTTGTACGAAAAAACGAGGATTGTGTTTTTTATGTTTAAATTCACATCTAATCAAAAACTGTAATTCACAGTTAAAGTGTAATTTGTGTAATTCAAAAACGCATAATAGTTTTGTTGCATGAAGATATTAAAGCTAACAACGTACAGCTTTTAAAAGCGCCAAATGAAAACGAAAGCACTTCCAGAGAGAATTTCGAATGAATCATGCGAGGGTCAAGGTCAGGTAGTTGTCAGTAATACGATTCAAAATTGCAACTCGGCGATTTTGCCTACAGTTCTCGCACTCGCATTTTCATCCAGTGGCGAAACTATCGAAATTAAATTATTATTGGATTCCGGAAGTGAAAGTTTCGTTTATTTCTGAACGAGCTGTTCGAAGATTAGGATTAAAAAGAACAAATCAAAGGTTACTTTTGCGTGGAATTGGCGGAGTGCCAGCTTCCAAAACTCGTGGTTCTGTTGATTTTAAAAGTTCGGTCAAAGTTAAATAATCAAGTAATTGATGTTAACGCATACATTTTGGATAGGTTAACTTTGCCATTGCCGGAACAAGTGATTAATGTAAAGCATATAGAATACATTAAATCTATTCCGTTAGCGGATCCGAATTTTGCTCAACCCAAAGAAATTGATTTGATTTTAGGAGCTGATTATTTTTTCTCCGTTTTAAGATGTGGCCAAATATATGGTTTCGAAAAATGAGCCTGTAGCTCAAAATACAATTTTCGGTTGGGTGATTGCTGGGAAGGTCGGAAATAATATGGAAGGCCCAAAAAACAGCAAATTCACACTTCATAAAGCTAGAAGATAATATAAATATTGATTACGAACTTAAGCGTTTCTGGGGAAATGGAGGATATTGTCGATGTTGGGAAGAAGGAATTTCTGACACCCTGAGAGGAACAATTTTGTGAATCACATTTTCAAAACACTCATTGCTGTTAATTCAGATGGGCGATTTGTTGTAAAACTTCCATTTTATAAATCGCATTTGAAGTTGGGTGATTCAAAACCGGCAGCAATTTCTAGGTTGCGTTCCATGGAACGAAAATTCAAAGATAATCCGGAATTTGAAAAACAGTATAAAGATTTCATACGTGAATATGAACAGTTAGGACATATGACTGTGATTAATGATGATTTATCTAACAGATCAGATATAGAAAAGTTTTATCTTCGTCATTATGCGGTAATTAAACCTTCTAGCACAACAACAAAATTAAGAGTAGTTTTTGATGCATCCTGCAAATCTGAAAATGGTATATCATTGAATTCTCTTTTAGGGGGTAGGTCCGAAATTACAAAGAGATATTTTTGAGATTTTGATTATTTTCGATTGAATTACCATGATTACTGAAATTAATAAGGGTCGTGCTCTAAACACGAAAGGCTATATAGCTCTGTTTTTTGCTGTCATAAGCTGTGCAATAGAAGCATCAGGCCTGACGCGACTCGTTTATCGCTCCACTAGCATTTCATTCACGTCGCGGTGCACCACGGCACATTTACAGTGACAACGGTACCATTTTGTGGAGCATGCGAAAACTACAAGAGCTATCGATTGGTCTTCCTTGTATGCAACGGAATCGGTTTCCCGAGAAACTAACTAAGTCATTATTGAATGTCATTTTATACCGCCTGCTTTGTCCCACTTCGAGAATATGGGAAGCCGCATTCGCTCAGTGAAAATTTCATCTGAGAAGAGTATTGAAAGAGACTCTTTAACTACAAGATTTGCAACACTAATTACCCCGATCGAGGCTATTTTTGAATTCACGTCCACTTACTTACATAACGATACTGATATTGACTGTATTAATGTTTTAACCCTTCTCATTTCATTACCGTGAAACTTTTAACTTCCTTTCCAGATACCCATCAGACTTTACGCACAAGGAGTTCGGTGGGAACTTGTACAGAATCTACGTCTGGGATTCTGGAAGCGATGGAAAAAGGAATACTTGACTTCGCTTCAGCAGAGATCCAAGTGCAGTACAACAGACCCAATCAAAAATCGCACGGTGGTTCTTACCATCGAAGATGGATCTCCACCGCTAGCTTGGCTATAGGACGGATCATCGATGTCCATCGGGCAAGGATGACTTAGCTCGCATAGCCACTGTCAAAACTAAAACTGGTGTTTTCAAAGAGGAATTAATAACTTTCCGTTGCCTGGTATCAGGACTAAACCTGATAGGGTGAGAGTATGTTCACTTCCACGCCTGTCGAATTAATTTCTACCTTTTCGTTGCCCTGCGTTGACAACACGCTTTTGAGATTTGTCGTTCGTAGGATTCGGTCACTAAAAGCGTAGCTGGCCTGTAACAGTTATAATTATTATTTTATGCTTATCTGTACTCCTGAATTATTACTAAATGTTTACGTGTGAATATTATATCATTAAATGTCTTCAGTTTGATTTAAATACACCAAAAGTCGACTGAATTTACTAAGTATGTTTAAAGTTGAAACTGCGTCATCCATGTCGGCGCCGTTCTAATACGAGGTACGTAAACAGCTCCTTTATTACATGGCACACATTAAGTCTATGATGCAAGTCTTGTCAAATGTTGTGTAGCATGTCACTGCTGGTAATAACAGCTGTGATGCAAGCTTTCAAAGCAGTCATGATCATTGGACCTGGAAGCACAAACATAATCCTTTACAAACTCCCACAACACAAATCACATAGGGGGAGATCCAGGGATCATGGTGGCTAAAGTAACAATGCTTTGTCTAGGGCAAATGCTCATATGGTCTTCACTTAATGTCAGAAAATTTGATGGTGCTCCAACCTGTTGCAGAATAAAGCTAGGCAGGTCAATCTTGTATCTGCAACAGATGTCATAATTGGAGCATATTAAGATACACAATTCCTTTCACAGTGTTTTCAGCAAAAGGAAAAAAGTATCTATAGATCTTCTTATAGGATACTGTGTGAAACAACCTTCAAGAAATCGTGTTCATATTGCACTGTTGTGTGTGGATGCTCAATATCCTAAATTCTTATATTGTTCATGTTCACTAGTCAGGAAATGTAAAATGCTAATTTTATTTATCACTGAGCACTAAACAAATTTATCATCTTCCATTGATGTTAGAAGTGTATCATCAAAAAATAATCGTGCCAAGTCTTCTCATTTTAGTTGTTGCACGAACTGCAAATGATGTGTTTTCATCTGCAAACATTTCCCAAGAATCTCCATGCAGTTTTCTGAGGTACACCCAATTGTCATCCAGCTCAGTATATATTTTGACGACTTCTCACATAGCTGTCTTGAATGCGCTGAAATACGTAATTTCTCACTGATGGATGACCTGTTGCTTTTCCTTTGCATAATCCAGCCTCTCTCTTGTGTTGAATAGCAGCAATAAAGTATTTATCACCCTCTTCCTATTTGTCCATATTTTCTTCAGAAATGACACTGGACAGTGATAATGGAATTGCTTGCATGATACTCAACCATAAAAAACACTTCCGTATGTTACATTTTACAGTTCTTTTGAATAAATACCTTAATTACATTTTGAATAGTAAAGCTGTGAAATCCTGGCCCTTTTTTTTATTTTGATTTACCCTGTATTTTACTAAAATGTAGGTAATTCTTTGTTAAAGCGGCCTATAAGCTTGAATCACTAATCAACCCAGGTATCTTGTCGAAATCTGGGTGCATGTTCCCCATGTAATTGGATATCAGAACCATATTGCATTTTTGCTCTTTCTGCATATTCTTACATTATCTATTTTTGATGAGGTTTTCAAATTTGTGTTTTTGTTAAAAATATATTCTTTTTTTTTGGGGGGGGGTATATGAAGTTAACTATCATTAATTTACCAAGTAATAAGGCGAAGCCATATCATTTTTTCAAGAAAGAGGTCTTTTATCTGACATACAAGTACACGAAAGTGGCCACTAAATGGAGCTTTATGTTAACAATAAAACTATTTGGAAGGGCAATGTAATAAACTGCAAAAATAAGAAGGGCCTCCTTGAATATCATTTATCATTGCTATTTACATGTTCTTGGGCAGAAGAGTTGATGTCCATGAAATGCTGTAAGAAACAGCTGAATATATATGAAATTGCTGCAGTTGATTGGAACGATTACATATGTTAAAATAATAAAGATGAGGATTCTTAAAATTATTCGTAAGAAATTATATGTGAGTACTATTATTATTATTATTATTATATATTGTGTTGTTTAATTTTACATTTGCGTTTCACGAGCTTGGCAAAATTATAGCCGACATCTTGCCACAAATCTAAAATCCCCAAATACGTTTGGGGGCCGCTATAACAAAGAAGTACTGAAATATGTTATGTTTCTGAAATAGGGTTTTAATAATAAAATGTTATGTATAATTCATAAATTTCAGAAACTGTTCAAAGTTTTCAATGTACTTTGATCTTGCCACTTAATGTTTCTGTTGAATTGTCTTTATCTTGTAGATCAAATGGTATGGAAAAGCACTGTAGAACTCGAAAGAGAACACGAGCTGAAGCATGTTTAGGAAATAGTTCTAAAAGTAATTGCACAAATGGACAAAGAACATTATATCCAAATAGACCAGTCAGCTCTGTAAGCTATTTTGTATTATTTTAGATTTTTTATTGTGTATTTTATATTGCTGTGTAATAATCTGCAGTTGCTGTTATAGGCTTTGTATCGCCCTGCTCCTTTCAACGATGAACCAGAAGCAATGGCAGAAAGAGATCGTTGTGATTATTCAATAAAAATTACCAAGGAAATGGCTGAAAGTGGCACAGGTAAATTGTTCAAAGCTTGTATTTGTCATCTACTAGCACTTATGAAGTTTATTACCAAAACTTATGAAGCATGTACTTACTGTCAGTGTTTTCTATCGCTACAACAATACTATAGTAACTAAGATACAATAACATTCTGAACAAATATTAACTTTAAAGCCAAACAACAAAAATCAGCGTTATATTTTCAAATTTTTCACAGGACTAGTTTCGACGATTTTACCGAATCATCATCCTCAGCTGCAGTCCTGTGAAAAATTTGAAAATATAACGCTGATTTTTGTTGTTTGGCTTCTAAGTTAGTACTATGTACTTGGGTATTAATGTAACCACCATAGTAGAAGTCGCCAAATTTTCAGATTGTGTCAGACTCTGGCAACCATGCGTGCGTAACCATTCTTCTGGAAACATTGCTCTTAACAGTCAGTGAAACAACACCACCATTTTCATATGTTTTTTTTTTTTTTTGGTTGGATTTTGAGTTTCAAAGGCTTTTAAAAACAAATCGTGATATTTCTTGTCTAAAGCTTAGTTTCAAAATACAAGTTTGTATAATTTGCCAGCAATAGAACAAACTGCGATAAAATTTCTGCAATAATACAGAATTTTGGTGAAAATTTAGTAAAGAGAACAACGGCGAAATGCATTTTTTTTTTAAAGCCGCTATTGCCGAGGTTTGCATGAAAGCAAGTCTCAGCAAATCTGTAATTTTTTTTAAAGCAAAAAAACAGATCACTGTGTACTTCGGGAGAAAAATAACACAAGTACAGAAAGATTTGAAGAATGTAAGTGCTTTATTTTTTAATTTATTACGTAATTTTTATTTAATAGTTAATTTTTTTTAAATTGCTAAAATATGTTTTCTTTTCATTTGTTGATAATGTTTACCAGTTTACAATAAATATTGATAGTTTAGGAAGTTTTCTTTAAAAAAAAGAAAAAGATGCAGACACTACCAACTTGTACCTGACAAGTAACTTTTACCTTTTTATCTGTACAAAATTGCCAAATTATGCCAAAGTGTCTTCATTAATACGTAAGCACGCAGTACTATTAATAGCAGGATGGTTCTCCTTTTGCTGTTATGGCTATCAGCCTTAATTTGTGGGAATTCTGTCACTTAGCATGGCAAACAGGTGACAAGTGTTATTTGTTTATATCAGTGGTTTCAAACTGGCGTCCTGTTGGCTGCATGTGGCCCTCAAAGCAATTTTATGTAGCCTGTGAAGATATTTCATGTATGAATTTGTAGCAAATATGTCACAAAGATTTCAAGATTTTAATTTTTTTAAGTTTACATTATTTCTATTACCATTAAAAAATACCGTGAATAATATATTAAAAAATTTATAAATGGAGCTAACTAATTTGCAGTGCAATATAAATCTTATTCAGATTCAGGGATACAGATTTTATTAACATGTATTTGTATTTATTTAAAATAATCTCTTTCTTCTGGAATACATTCATATGTGATCAGCTTTTTTCACTGTTGAAAATTAATAAGAAAAAAAACCGATTGAATGATGAGTAGCTATAATCTGTGAAGAAGATAATTTCTAATCTCCTAGGTACAAGCTTTATCAAAATTAAAACGCCGTCATGTGTCAAGCTGTAATAAGAAATAAAAGAAGTTTATAGTTATTTCATTCAAACATATGTATTTTTATTTAAGCATTAAAGAAAATTTTAATAAATTTTAAAGAGAAAAAAGATAAAGAGACTAAAGTGTTGTTATTTATTCTAGGTTTGTCTGACTTAAAATATTTTGTCTGAAAAGTTAAGAAAGTATTCATAATTTTTTTTCAATTTAATTAAATTATTTTATGATTGATTAAACATATTAGAACTATTTTAGTTAAATGCCAGTGGGAAAACTTAATGTTTAACTGACAGTATATTTGAGTTACAAAGTATAACTAATAGAAATTTCTTGCTGGTACCAAATTTAGACTTCCAAAAAATTAATATAGCACAAAGTGTGAAATCCGGACGTCCATTATCCAGAATGATCTAAATTCCGGACTTCAAAGCCACAAACCTTTTTTTTTTGTATGCGTTACGCATGCGTGGTGTCAAAGATTCCAAAGTGAGACTAACAATTTTGACATGTGCAAATGCTGCAGAAACGCACAAGTGCAAACTTTTTGTAATCGGAAAACATGCATGATCTCGAGCATCTAAAGGAGTAGTGATTTTCCCCGTTATATATTGCACAGATAAAAGAGCATGAATGACACAAGCGTTGATGAATGATTGGTTAGAAAATCATTTTATACCCGAGGCTCAGCAACATTTGAATTCAGTTGGTTTACCTGATGACTCAAAAATAGTTCCGATTCAACTTAAAGTTTTAGTGAAAGATAATGTATCTGTATTATTCTTCCCTTCAAATTGTATGTCTATCATTCAGCCTATGGATATGGGAATAGTGTATGCGCTGAAATGCAAATGTCAAGTAGCATTTTAAAAATCTATGTTAAATTTCTTTAACAATGGCAAGAATATTCACGACTTTTTGAAATTTTTTAGCATAAAATCTGCTGTGTGGAGCATCGCAAGATCATAGGAGGATGTGTCTCCAGATACGTTAAAAAATGCTTTGCATAATTTATTTACGTAAAAAATGCTTTGCATAATTTTATTTAATAATTATTTTATAATGGCCAGCTACCATATTTCATGGTGAGGACGATGAAGATGATGGCCGTGAATTTAAAGTTTTTCGGATATCGCAGACTAAAGGTGAAATTTTCCAGTTATTGGATTTTGTAAAGAAATGTGGAGAAGTGGTAATAAATGAAGTTGATATAACAGAAGTTTTCATTGTGAAAACAATGCCCCAGTCATCAGTCAATTAACGGACGGCAAAATCTGTAGTATGGTTCTAGATCCAGAAAATACTGCTACCGATAGTGAAGAAAGCAACAGAGAGGTTATTGAAAATGAAAAAATTTTGATTAACAAGTTAGTCAGCATTCTCGACACAGCAATTACAGGACTTGAACAGTGGAATTTTGTAACTGTGAACAAGAAATTATGTCTGTTTATAGAATTAAAGAGAAAGTATTAGCACAAAAACGAAGCAACTTAAACAACTTACATTGAAGGAAATGTTTAATAAAGTAAATAAATAAATATTAAGCTTGTTTTTTTTTATAAAATTTGATACCCTTTAGATCATAAATGCTCTTTATTTCATAGTTTTAATTGTATAATTTCTGCATGCCATCTTACCAGATTTAAATTGTTGATCTATAATCCGGAAAAATCCCTAATCCGGAATCGCCCGATGAGTCCGGATAAGTCCCGATGAGTCCGGATTTCGGACTTTGTACTGTACAAGTTTGAATTTTTTCCTTTTGCGATATTATTATTACCGGTTATGTATGTTTTGAAAAATACTTTTCAATAAGTTAAAAATTAAGTTTTTTTTTTTTTTTTTTAATTTTGTTAATAAAATATTTTTGATTTTGTTAGAAAAAAAGCCAGCTGTTTTCAGATCATGCATGCAGCCTGTGGTCAATTTTGAGTTTGAGACCACTGATTTATATAATTTTGGCTTTGCAGTCGTACCTTTTAGGCCTTTCAGAGGAGCTGTATTATCTTGTTTGTTTTCAGATACTAGAATAGGTTTTTTAGTATTAGAATATTTCTATTGATGTGTTAAAAAAGGTTTCTATTTTGAATTGTAACTACAATGTAGAGAAAAAGTTGCCCAAAATTTCTTGCAAGAGTTAAGCTTCAAGTACTAAGCAGTAGAATTAAAATTCACTGTTTTGATTATAAAAGATACAATGCACATGTTATAAATCTGAACAAAATTATAATGTTTTACAATTGATGATATAATTATTATGTTTATTCAAGAAAGTTTTTAAAATTTAAGTGAATTATTATATTGCATTTGAATTTTTTTATGAATTTTACTGAAAAGAAAGTTAGAAAATAGTTGCTTTGTTTTAAATATTTGTCTTCTGGCCTTCAAACTAATGAAGGAAGCACAAGTATTAATTAAGAAGTATGCTGTTTATGATCTTTATAATGAACTGCTAACATATATAAGAGACTGTCGAATGAAAATGAGACAGACTATATAAGCATGGCGCAGAATTTGGTAACACAGGTAGGTTTGTGTATAGAAGCACTGTGCTATTAGGAATCGGGAAGGAACAGCTCACCATTGTGTCATTTGTCTGTTAACTCCTTAGCTGCTGCAGGAAACATACAAGAGTCACTCCCCAGTGCTACTGTTGTTTTACACATATGCGCATAGTTATGAGATGTATTAGGGGGAAAATAAGCAAAAGTTTTCCTGTCTAAAAACTGTATACTTTCACAAAATAAAGAATAAAAGAAAAAATCAAAATGCAAGATTTGATGTCTAGAGTAAAAGTATAATAAAAAACATCACAAAAAATGAAGTTCAGATCAATTTATTTTTAGGCCATTAAAGTGTAATGTCAGGTTTCGGTGTTATACCGTGTAAAACCAGTATACCTAAAAAACCATGTATTTTTTCTGAATTGGTTGGATGCCATGATTTTATTCTCGATTTTTCTTTTGCAGGATGTTGGTACATATATTAGTCTGCAAAATGGTTACTTTCAGAAATAATATGAAGCACGAGCAGTTCATCAAAAAATAATTCAAAAAAGAAAAATGGGTTTGAAAAACCCGTTATATCTTTCTTTATTGCTGGCTGTCCCGAAAATAGAAAGCATGGAGGCAGCGTAGATACAGAATAAAACAAAAATATGATTTACTCAAACAGAAACAGAGCAATAACCATTCAGTCATTAATCATCACTGTCGGACATATTAGTAAGCACCTACTACAAACAGTAAACGAAAACGTAAGACACAAAATAAAAAAATATGTTTTGCTCAAACAGAAACACAACACGATCAATAATCGTGCAGTCTTTACTTTCACCGTTTCAGAAACATCCCCCTCTCAATTCCTCCTGTCCTCTTTTCTGAAATATTCTCCTTCGCATAAACTGTCAAGGCCATTGTGGTATTGCATTCCAAAGCTTTGCAAATAAATTTACTGGTAGCTACGCAAAGCAAGTGATAGTATTCCAGGGCAGTTAATGCATTCGCTGAGCAAGGTGTATATATACGCCCACAGCAGTTAAGGGGTTAAGACAGGCTTGAAATTAGATCAGTGAGTTGTGTGTACTATCACTAAAGAGGCCAGGAAAGAGGAACTGCTTGCTATAGTGCATTTTTTTATTGCAGAAGGAGTGTCGGGAAGAGAAATTCATGCCCGAATGTCTGCTGTGTGAGGTGAATATAGTATGTCACGTGTGAATTTTATTGGAATAAATGATAACGAGAAGTTCAGGTATCACTGAAAGACAGCAGTCTGCTAGGATGTGATCATCGTGTCATTATCCCTTCTGTCATTGCTGCAGTGAATGCTGCTGTCAAAGAATGTCTTCCACTGATGGCAGACAGTTGAAGACATTCGGCTCATGTTGGGCATTAGTCACACTATCACTCATGCCATCTTGACAGAGCATCATAAGTTCCATGAAATCTGTGCAGTGAGTTCTCTACAATCTGACAGTAGCTTAAGTTGAATAGAATGTAAATATCACTGCAGCACCTGGAATGGTATCATGATGAAGAATATTGTGTCCTGTCCCATATTGTTGGGCATTAAACATGAAATGGTAATGGAGTTGATGAAATTTTGTGCCATCATTTTAAGGCAGGGAGCAAGTGTTAGAGAAAGTGAATGGCTTCAACCCCAACAGAAAAAAACCAAAGCCGTGCAAAGCCAGCTGTGGGAAGTCATGTTAACTTTTTTCTTTAAGGGCAATCAAATACAGATCCCTGACAGTCTAAATCTCTCTCCTTGCAATTTCCATATTTTTGGAGCCCTGAAGAAAGGCCTTAGTGCCCATCAATGTGCTTCAGACGAAGAGGTTCCGTGGGCAACCAAAAACACTTTTCCATGATGACATTTACCATCTTGTCTCATAGTAGGATAAATGTGTATTAAGAATTATGGTGTTACTTTTGAAATAATAATTAGGTTGCTTACTTTTGTTCCCATCTGTGTCGTTTTCATGTGACCCTTATGGAATTTCATTGCCAGTTAAAAATTTGCGGGAGAAACATTTTTAGCAGGAGAGGTAACTCATCATTTTTTAAACTGCTAGTTGCTTTGGTAATATTTCTGACATTGTCAGTTAGTATTACATTAGTTGATATTTTCTTACAATTGAAAAAAGTTGGTGGCAAAAGTATATTTCTCACTGGAAGTATTTAGTTAGCATATGTAACTGAAAGAGGAAATTGTTTGTGTATGTTGACTTGACATAGAAATTTAAAAAAAAAAAAAAAAAAAAAGCTTATCCTGAAATTTATTAACTAACAATTATTTTTATAATTTTTAATTTTAGCTCCTCGACCAGTCCGAGTGTATGCTGATGGAATTTATGATTTATTTCATCAAGGACATGCTAGGCAACTTATGCAAGCAAAAAATGCATTTCCTGTTGTATATCTTATTGTTGGAGGTAATGTTTTTTTCACCATATTAATTATGTTAATTGTTGTTAAGTGTAAGTAATAATAACCTTTTGGTACTTTCTGGTTTTTGCATCCCCGACTTCAACATTCAGGAGAACTGCCGCATCGGCACATTTTTTAGTATACATGTAACATTAGCCAACTCTCATATGCAAACTGTGCATGGGTAATTTACAAACCTTATATTTTAATGTGCTTTCACTGATCAGAATTTTCCATCATATAGTGATAATGGCTATTTTTTTCCCCACCATAAAAGTTTTATATCTTATAAAATGCTATCATTTGCAATCATTGTCATCATAAATTTGTAAGCATTTATGAATAAATTAGTAACCAACATGTTGTGGGAACATCCAAACAAACAATTTTCGCCAATTCACAAAGTCATCAACTTTGGCGAGTTTCATAGAGGGGAATATTAAAAAAATAGGTATTTTTAATGTGATGAGTACAAAAAATGTTTTGTATGAATTAAAAGAATAAAATCATTCTAAATACAAGGGCCTTATTATCTAGTGTATAGAACCATTGAGCATTAATTTTCCCAAGTTATTCGTGAAGGTAACATAGAGAATAATACGATTATGTGTGGACAATGTTAACTCGATTGGCTACCAGTATTTGCCATAAATTTTTTGTCTGCTCATCTTGATTCTGTACATTTCAGTAAGTTTGTATTTAAATAAACAAACTTTTGTTGTGGCCCAAGGAATTATATTATATACTTGCATCTCCACCTCACCAAAAAATTAAAATTTAGTATTAAAAATAGAGAGTTTAACATAATGAATCCCCCTTTTACTTCCGTATGAAGTAAAGGAAGTATTGTAATAGCGAAAAATTTTGGGTATCGTATATCAACGAAAATATCCGTTTTGATGGCTATCAAATACAATTTAATGATGTTTTTGTGTGACATATGAATGTAAGGACAGAATAAAGGACTCTTTTTTGCAAAACGAATTGTAAAATTCGTATTGGATTCGAAGATAATTTTTTCGCGACGTCTGTATGTACATATATATGTGTCTTGCATAACTCAAAAATGACTAGCTTTAGCCTCAGAATATTGAAATTTTGTATGTGGAACTACTATAACATATAGTTGTGTGCTTCCCTTTTCAGTTGCAATCAGCTACACCAAAAGTATATAAATATATATACCCATTCTGTTACTCGATGCAGTGAGCTTAGTTTTTTTTATTCTTAGATAAAATGTTGGTAAACTGTCCATTTTTAGATTTGTAAGTGATTCAATTATATTGTTCTTATGTTCCAGTTAAGGTTTTTATGCCTTTAGTTAATCTGCATGTAGTAGTTATAGAATTATGAAAATGTAAAAATTTTTTTAAGTGGGACTTAGCCTAACAGAGCAGCCATTTGTTTACATTTGAAATTTAGCAGAATAGTAAATTCAGTGAGTTTCTGCAGCTTCAGCATCTTTTTGCCAAGTGGGACCAAAAGAAAACTTCCAGTTTTGTGCACTGAAAAATCTGCCTTTTTGCCCACTGGCCAAATTGTTTGTTTTTTCATCGAAACTACAATTTTAATTGTAATTTTTTAATTGTTTTTAACTGTATTTGGTGCTTTATATTTAATTTTTAATGAAGATGTTTTGAGTTTTTATGTATTTTTGCCTTACTGCGAAGTGAGAACTGAATTAATTGAGTGAGAAATATATTTGTAATGAAATAACTTCAGCAAAAAATTTGTATAATTTAATGGGCTGTCAAGGTAGTGATGTGGTGTCCACATCAGATTCTTGTACAAGGAAGTAATCACAAAAATTTGTGGGTGTCGTATTTCAACGAAAATATCCATTTTGACCACTTTCAAATGCAGTTTAGTGATGTTTTTGCACGACATCTGTACAGAAAGAAGGACAAAGTAAAGGACTCTTTTTTCCAAAATCTGTTGCAAAAAGCATTTAAAAGGTATACAGAAGGATTTTTTTTTCATGACGTCTGTATGTATGTTTTTATGTATCTCGCATAACTCACAAGCAAGTAGCCTGAGAACATAGAAATTTTCTATACAGGACTTCTATAGTGTTTAGTTTTGCAGCTCCCTTAAGTGGCTAAGCCTAATTTTTTTACCATAGGAGCTATATTTGAAACTTAGCAGAATAGTGAATTAAGTCAGTCCTGCACCTTCAGTGTTTTTTTGCCATGTGGGACCAAAAGGAATCTCTTAGTTTTGTGCACTGAAAAATCTGTCTTCTTGCCCACTGGCCGAATTGTTTGTTCTTTCGTCGAAACTCCAATTTTAATTGTAATTTTTTAATTTTTTTAACTGTATTTGGTGTTTTATATTTTTCAATTTTTAACAAAGATGTTTTGAGTTTTTATGTATTTTTTTTTTTTTTTTTTTTTTTTTTTTTTTTGCCTTACTGTGAAGTGAGAACTGAATTAATTGAATGAGAAATGTATCTGTAATGAAATTCACGGAAATAACTTGAGCAAAAAAATTTGTATAATTTAGTGGGCTCTTCAAGGAAGTCGTGGTGTCCACATCAGAAGGAAGTAATCACAAAAATTTTTGGGTGTCGTATTTTTGACCACTATCGAATGCATTTTAGCAATGTTTTTGCATGACATCTATACGAAAGGACAAAGTAAAGGACTCTTTTCCCCCAAACGGGTTGCAAAAAGCTTTTTAAAGGGATACAGAAGAAATTCTTTTCATGATATCTGTATGTGTGTATGTATCTCGCGTAACTCAAAGCAAGTAGCCTGAGAGCATAGAAATTTTGTATATAGGACTTCTATAGCGTTTAGTTTTGCACCTTCCTTAAGTGGCTATATTTTAAAGTTAGCAGAATAGTGAATTAAGTCAGTTTCTGCACCTTCAGTATTTTTGCCGTGTGGGACCAAAAGGAAACTTTCAGTTTTGTGCACTGAAAAATCTGTCTTCTTGCCCACTGGCTGAATTGCTTGTTTTTGTTTAGAAACTCTAATTTTATGTGTAAAAATTGTTTTTAACAATATTTTGTTTATATTTTTCTATATTTTACAATGTTTAATAAGGATATTTTGAGGTTTTATGTATTTTTGCCATATTCTGAAGTGAGAACTGAATTAATTGAATGAGAAATATATCTCTAATCAAATTTGAGGAAATAAGCTTAAATGAAATGCAGAACAAATGCATAAATTTAATATTCCATACAAGAAAGTCATGTGGTGGTTAAGTAGTTATCTTAAAAATAATCAGTTCTTTTTTCTAGTATTTTTATGAAACAAGTATTTATGTGTATTAATTTTAAAAAATTAAAAATATATTCAATTATCAACCTTTTGTCTTTCACAGGGTTACATAGATGAGTCAAAACTGGTCAGTAATTTTAATTAAGTTCTAAAATGAACTTTTATTAAAATTGTAATTTTCAGCATTTGTTCCTTGATAGGAATAGTTATATGTTATGCTGTCTGAAGCTATTAAGAAAATTTGATTCATACCTACATCAGCTCAGCATTGAAATGGGATGATGTTTTATATTTTTTATGCGCAGTTTGTACAAAATTTGAATTCTGCATCTGTCGTGTATTATAATTTTGAGGTAAATGCTATAAAATGCCCGCACACTCGGGTAGGCCAAATGAAGCAGTCACTCTGGAAAATGTGAAACAGGTGTTGAAAATCGTGATGAATGACTACAAAGTGAAAGTTCGTGAGATTGCTGAGATGGTAAACTTATCAACTGGAAGTGCATGTACGATTTTGCATAAAAAGTTGGGCATGAAAAAGTCTTTTCCAAATGGGTGCTGCATGTTCTCACAATGGAAGAAAAGCAACTACAAGTAGACAATTCAAAGAGCTGTTTGTCACTGTTTACTTGAAATAAACAGGATTTCTTGCCTCGGTATGTAACAATGGGCGAAACATGGATCCATTATTTCACATCCATTATTTAAATAATGGAGTTGAAGTGGCAGTCGGCTGAGTGGTGTGCAGCCAGTGAAAGCCATCCGAAGCATCCAAAAATGCAGCAGTCAGCTGGCAAAATCATAGCATCAGTGTTTTGGGATGCACGAGGTATAATTTAATTGACTACTTTGAAAAGGGAAAATCTATCAATAGCACCTATTACAGTGATTTATTGGTGCGTCTGAAGGATGAAATCGCAAAAAAAGACCGCACATGAAAAAAAATCATCTTCCATCAAGACAATGCCCTGTGCCACAAGTCAATGCAAACGCTGGTTAGTTAAACAAGTTGGGCTTCATTCTGCTTCCCCACCCACCATACTCCCCAGATCTAGCCCCCAACAACTCCTGGCTGTTTGATATCAAAAAGGTTATTTTGTGGACAAGGACAAATCATTTTACAAGCATGGTATTGAAAAGTTAGAAAAGCATTGGAATGATTGCATAGCTCTTGATGGTGATTATGTTGATGAATAAATGTTAATTTTGTGAAATGGGTGTTGTTTTCTTAGTTAGTTCCGGGATTTATTGAATGATGTGTTAAATGATAAGGTTAATCATAATAGTTATATTTAACTTTTATCATAAGTTTCATGAAAATAAGTATTATTACAAGAAATAAATTATTGTGATAAAAAATTAATATGTTTTCGTTATTTATAAAAATTGTCATACATAAAAAATCAAGGACAAATAATTATAATTGATTAAAATATTTGATAACAATGATAATAACATTTATTTTCATGAAACTTATGTTAACAGTTAAATATATATAAACCTTAATTTTATGTTCGCAATTTTTCGTGATGTAGGCCTACTGGGGATCCTGGCATGTTAAATAATGGGGACACATCCCAATATGCAGTACCTCATGGGTGATGGGGAAATCCGTGTATGACAGATTCACTGACTGGCACTATATTTCCCAACTTTAAATTTAAAAAAAATATATTAATTTTCGATTCAAAATTAGACATTTCATCCATATAAGAAGTCTAGGTTCACATTTAAACAGATAGTGTGCCCAGCAAAGGGGCCGGGTATCAGCTAGTTTTATTTATATTTTACTATGAAGTTTACATAGTCTTCATTAAACTTTACTCTTTTAATACAGTACAAAGTCCGTAATCTGGACGTCCATTATCCGGATTTATCTATAATCCGGACCCCAAGGCCACAAACCTTAAGCTTTATGCATGTGCGTAAAGAGCACGCAATCACGAATACACAGCAAATAGTTTTCTGGTTGCAGTTTTCTAATTTCGGCTATGCGTAATGTATGCTTTACGCATGCACGCATTGAAAGAAATGTTTAACCCTTTGACACGCGCGATATTATTTTTATAATTTTTTTTAACTAAAAACTAGAAATTGAATATTATGATCCTAGAGACAAATAATATATGAATTTAAAAAAATCTACTCTTGCCCGTTGTTCTGTGGGTGGTGGGTCGCACTGTGAAAACACCGCGCGTTTAGGACTTTGAAACTTACTGATTTAGTAGGGGAACAAACTTACCATTTTCCGCAGGCGTTTCCAATAAATGACAAAATTTATGGATTTAAAAAAAAAATGTATGTAAGAATTGCATTATGTATAATTTTTTTTACATTATTTTACAAAGTAAATCGTCAGAAAAAATTAAAAAATAAACATTTATGTAATTTTTCTATAGCAGTGAAAATATAAGTACCTACATAATAAGGACATTTTGGTAAATGGATTAAAAAACTCAATAAAATAAGGATAAAAAAGATCTCAGTGCTTTTTTTTTTTAATTTCAAAGAACAAATTTTTTTGTGACACTGTTCAAAGCATGTTTTGTCTTTTTGGCACATGCTGACCCACACTGCACGTTTCGCACATACATCTTGTTGTGCTACAAAATGTACACTGCCTGGATTTAAATTTCACTGGTATATGTCCAGCGTTATTTAGTTTCTTTTCATCTGGCACATGAAATTTGTGGTTTTTTATGTTATGGGGGGGGGCTTGGTCTTTTTGGCTTTGTACGAATCGTTCGTTTCTCATTCATACTTATTTTATTCGTATTTCATCCCAAAATATTCAGAAAATATTTTAAATTTAAATAAAACTTTTACACAATTTCTATTTTTAATTATAGCAAAGTATATTTACATTAAATTTAAACCACAGGAAATAATTTATAAAATCGCAATACTAGCTTGGGGAGCAAATGTGTTGATGTCAGAGAAAGGTATTTGGAAAAGAAAGACCTTTTTACTGGGCAGGTGCATGTATTGTTTAGTAATAAAATAACTCTGTGGTTTCAAAGCCCTTTATCTATATCCGGGTAAAAATAAACATTCCTATTTGAAAAGCAAGCGAACGCCATTGAGAAGCAAACACCAGTAGTTTCAAGGCGCGACCACCGAGCCTCTAGAGGATTGTAAGCATTGTAATTATATTGTATAAATAATGAAGAATCTGCATGAATGTATGTTTGTTTCTTGAATTGTGATAAAGTAACGGTACCTAGAGCCATCAAATTTTGAATAGCATATGTCTCCACCTGAATATGGGCATCTGAAGGTACCAATCTGGAATTTGTTTTATTATCTATTTCATATTTTGTAAAGCATTTATGAGTTTAGTTAAGAATCTCAATGATTTCAAAGCGAGCAATGGCAACACTGTATGGGGGGGGGGAACTTATTTATCTCTAGTGTGCAAGACTGTGTATCAGAAATTCTAAAGATATGCTGTTTTAAATATTTTGTGATATTGCTGTTGAATTGAATTTTATGGTTTAAGTGTGAAGAACATGATATTTGATAAATAAAGATAACACACAAAACATTAAAAAAAGCCCCTTTGGACGTAATATAAAATCTGAAAGCCTTCAGATTTTTTCCCTTCTTTTTTTTTTAATATAGTGAATAGTGATTTTCTCACTCATCAAAATAAGGGAAAGACAGTTATGACAGATGAAGAGCGATATGAAGGCATTCGGCATTGTCGATATGTTGATGAAGTTGTAAGAGATGCCCCATGGATAATAGATGACAAATTCTTGGAAGAAAATAAGGTATGTTATATTTAAACTTAGTTTCAAATTAAATAATATTATATTTCATCCCAAATAGCACACATATTTAGAGCATAGAATAAAATTTCTTTAACCCTTTCTGGCATGCTACCTTTTAAAGTAGGATTTTCAACTCCCCCAAAAGGTAGGCAGTCTAATCAGGCCTAGAGGAGTACACAGGTAAAATTTTGTGCGGATAGCACTTATCGTTGTAATTTTGTGGGTGTACCTAAAACAGGCACACTGAATGAATAGGGCTTTGAAAAGAGTGCTGAAACAAGCATTGCTGGGAGAAACATAAAAAGAGTAAGAGATTTTGCCTATGATTAAAAAACGCTAGGTTTTGAATACCGTAGCAGATTTAGCATTACCCAGGGTGTGCCACGGGGAGGCCTGCTACTCTACACCCACACTAAAAAAGCTCTTCTTGGTTATATGATGATTACATGCATATAAATGGAAAAAATGTAACTTGGGTATATGATATTTACATTATTTGCATTTCATATTTATGCTTTCGTCTTATTTTTTTCATGGTGGTGCTTTTCGAAGAAAGTGACACCACTTTGGAAAAAACACAACTCAATATTGCATGTTTTGCACATGTACTGGGATCTGTATCAGATTCACTATCTGAAAGCAATTCATGTAGCACTTTAATGCTTCAGAAAATGATCACATGTCTCCGATCCATTTGGAAAATAATTAAAAATCAGAAAAAAATAAACTAATATTATATCTACAATTTGAAATTATAAAATAAAATTAGATAAACATCTACAGTTCAAACCTATTAAACATAGCACTAACAAAACTTATTTGAACAAAAGCAAAAGAGAAAAAAGAGAACTGCTCTAGTGAAAAACCAAACTGCTAATAAAATTACCCCCCCTCCCCAACCTTCAGAAAATCACCTCAACAATTTCTTAGTTGATAACAAAACCTCCCCCCCCCCCCCAAAAAAAAAAAGAAAAACAGGAAATGAAACACAGATGTGGATCCACCTTTCTATTGTGAATGAGCTGTAGAGAAACAAAAATAGTTATTGTTCTAGTCTGTCAGTGAGCCCACACCGCTGGGCACACCTGATGTTCGCTGTTCGACCTTAGGCAAGATTTCAAGGTAAAAATTTAAAACTATTATAGAATAAGGAGATAAACATACGGTCCCCCCCCCCCAAAAAAAAGCGTAGAAATTAATTTTCAAACAATTCCTTTTATATCCTAAACAAAACCTAAAAGATTTCATTGAAAAATGAAGGTCTTTAAAAATTAAACATGGCTAAAATATATGGACTAGTTTGTGTTGGGCTGCCGTCTACTATAAATAAAGAAGTTTCAGAGTAACCTATAGTAACCTATAAATAATTTTTCATTCAATTTTTAGGTATGCCCGTAGCAGGCATACCGTGCCACAAAGGGTTAAAGTTAGGTTTCCAATTCTACTTGTCAGTAACAAGGCAACTGTTAATAAGGAAAAGCAGTATGTGTATGCCTTTAATTTTGTTGAAAAGGTTGTATTCACAACAGTATCTGTCACTACCTTAGAGATTCTATGTGTATAGATGTTATGCAGTCACTGTAGTAGAAAATAATGGAGAAATCTGTAGCTGCGAGCTGTTTTAGTTTTACTGTTTTTCGTTACTATATAATCAAATCTGATTTTTAATTTTTAGCCTCTATTGAGGAAAATATTTCCCAGCAGTAAATAAAATTTCTTGAATTAATGAAACTTAAATTGTATACTGCACACAAAAAAAGAGGGACAGTTCTATATCTCCCATTCTACTGGGCCAATAGACGAAATTCAAACTGCATTTTTCATCCCTCGAAAGCGCGACTTAAAATATATATTAGATTTATATATAGCACTATTCTAACATAGGTATTTTGACGTAAATTCGGACTTTTTCTGAAATAATACACCAATTTTTTTACATATTTCAGTTCTACGACTCAATATTAATATTAAATTTTGTAAAATGTGGTGCGAAATTTACAGAGAAATTCAAAAATTTATCTTGCTTCTTTTTTTTTCAGTTTGCGCGAAGAATAGTTCACTTAAAGAATTTCTTAATATATAGCAACCTATTTTCCTTTTCCTTTTTCATTGTGCATGAGAAGGAAAAAACTCACATTGTTCTTTGTTTCAGATAATGTCCTTTATGTTATATTTTTAATTATAATTGTTATTATTTTAAATAATTTTTTCTTTTTCAAATTTCATTTTATTGTCTACGTTGCATGGTTTCTTTCATATAACGGTTTTAAAAATTCCTATTTATACATTCGAACTGCATAGTTTAAATAAAAGATGCATCGTTTATTTTTTTTCAAATAGTTTTCTTTACTATATTATTTTTAGTTATTATTTTAGGTAATTTTTAAATTTTTAGACTTTTATTTTAATTGTTTGTGTTGCATTGTCTCTTCAGGTAATTGTTTTAAAATTATCTATTAATTCATTCAAACTGTGCATTTTAAATATATTTAATAATATGAATTTTCCAGAATTTGATTTTATTTATTTGAATTGCGCTTCTCTCAAAAGAATACTTTGTGACCCTGACTACGATGCATTTGAAAACTGCATATATTTTAAAAAAAATACAATAAAGTACAGTTTTTACACGCCTTTCAATGTTCAATTCAGAAAAGATATATATATGAGAGAGATGTATATCTGACATTTTAATTTATGATGACTTGCATACATTGCTTTAAACAGTTTTATCATTGTGCCCATTTCTTTACATAATTTTATCATCCTACATTTAATTTCTTTAAGTGTTATTAAAATTTTAGTCAAATATTTTGGCAATCGCAAGAATCAAATATCATAAAATTAAAACATTTAAAATTTTAAAAAATACTAAATTTTATGCAATTTTTTTTTCTTTTTAATGGCTTGCTCTTTTTCTTCAGGCATTTGGCAGGTATATAAAAAAGCATCTAACTTTTCTAAACATCATGGTATTTCTGACATTAATTTTAAATAAAGTTATCGCCTTCCATTTCAAAAGGGCCCACAAATGGCTGAGCTGTAAAGTCGCTGAACACTGGTAGTTCGATCTGGGGCTCGAATCCTGGTGAACAGGCTTGTTGCAGGGCATTTTTGTGGTTTTTCTCATGTGTAACGTGTATAAAAGCTGCTTTCCTTTAGAAAGTTCTTCACAAAGGATTATTTCCTTTTAGGCAGATAGCTCTGCTTTGCCGTAACTTAGCAATCTAGTTCAATCCATTTCATCAGTCTTCAGAGACTAGGCATTTTGAAGACATGAGATGAAAGGAAAGGCTTTGTTCAATCTGCGATATCGTTTATGTCTTTTCTGTTATCAAAAACTCAGTTATTGCTATTTGCTGGTGTACACGTCCAAGTGTTTTCTCTTTGAACACAAAACTTCCTTGAAGTAGATTCCCCTTTAAATTTTTGCTTCCCTCCAATTTCCGTCTATATTTGTTTTCAGTGTTGACATGAAAAAAATGAAGATTTTTCGATTGTTACACTTCAATAAATTTTGCATTCTTTGTCAAATTTTTAAAATATCAGTTGCATCAAATGCGTTTCAGCTGAAGACAGCCTTTCATTTTCTAGACATTTTAACTATAGATAAAGTTTAAAGCAAAGTGCAAAGGATAAATATTTGAATTAAAAGATTTTTGTTAAATGAGAAAGAAATAAAGCACTCCAGCAGCACTTATCCTGTACCACAGAGTGAGCCGATTTTTATATCAGGCACAAACAATCTAAATCATATAGATTTTTTAATTTCTATATTAAGGAACATGTTTTTATATAATCTACAGCACGAGAGGAAATTACTACTTAAAACATTCTTTTTAAGAGAATTAATATAAAATTTATATTTATATATATCTTTTTACAACTGAGACATGACTCCAATTTCAATGTCCTATTTGCTTAAAAACATTGTGAAAAATAAACATCAAACAAACATTCTCAGTATAAAACAATTAAATTTAAATGAAGTTAATGTAAAGTAGCAGACAATACAGTGATATTTATTACGCATGATTGAGGGGGGAAATTTCATATAATTAATTCTCCCTAAAAAGTTATTTGAAATTTAAGGCAAAAAATAGCTGTAGCAATTCACTGTAACAAAATCTAAAAACGACATTTGGTGTTATTATCGCTCAAAAAAGATGCCAAATTTCAAAACACGAAATTATCTAAATTTATGTGTATCTTAGAAAATTTTGAATAAAAAAACTAATTTTTTTGCAGGTATGCCTAGAAATATACCTTTAAAATGATGGTAAAAATTTTATAGGTTATAATTCAAAATTTTTTTCGAAAAATTTTTAATATAAATCGTAAAAAATAGGTGAATTTTATTTGGAATGAGCCTAAATATTGAAATGTGAAAGGAAGAAAAAAATTGTTAAAAATACAGATATTATAATAAATATATACATTGAGGAGATAAAAGTTTGAAAGCTAATATTTTAAAAATTACTCGTGCTATTTTTACAAAACTTGGCATTCTGGCATAATTTAAGTCGTAGAATCAAAGTATGGAAAGAAATTGGTATGTTATTTCAAAAACGTCCTATTTTGTGTCAGAATACCTACGCTAAAATAATGCTGTATATATATATCCTAAATTGCGCTTTCAAGACATGAAAAACACAATTTGAATTTCGTCAATCGACCCAGTAAAACAGGAGATATAGAACAGTCCCCCCCTTTTTTTTGTGCAGGGTACAAATTTCATTCTCCCACCCATGTTTTTCATTGTAATTTTTTTGCATTAAATTTTCATTGACCTGAATTCTTTTAATACACTAAACATTTGTAGAAATTTTTAGGAAGATTTAATCAAAATTGAAAACTAATTCAGAAGTCAAACAGCAAAAATCAGCGTTATATTTTCAAAATTTTCACAGGACGAGTTTCGATGGTTTTACTGACCACCATCCTCAGCTGCAAAACCGCAAATGAACAAGATAGGAAATAATAAGATAAGAAAGCCTGGA